TAATTTTTTATTTCCTTTTTTAAAATTATTTTATTTTAAGACTGATTATTTTTCACGTTTAAAAAAGAAGAGACAAAGCTATAAAAATCCAACAGAAAGAATACTGTTAGGTGCAAGTATCTAATTATAAACCGACCAAGCGGAGCTAATTCTGCGCCGCTCCCGAGGGAAAAATACCCTCTTGGCCTGCTACTGTACTTGACCGAGGCTAATTAATTTCTTGAAGACTCGCCAGTATGTGGGTCCCAGCCAGGGCAACAGACCAGAGGGTGGGGACAGTCCCCTGGGGCCAGCCGGATCTGCAGGGTGGCCTCCCCATCACACAGCCTCCCCTCGTGCAGGGGCAGCAGGCAACCTGAGCGGGAAGGATGGCCGCGGTTATTCTGCCTTTGGGGTTGAAATGGTTTCTCCCAGCCCTGCAGGGCGTTAAAAGCTCCCACCTTGTTTGGTAGAGCAGCCATCCACCCTCCCCTTGTTGGGGTCTAAGCATCTGCCCCTTCCCCAGCGTGGGCACAACGGGCAGGGATGGCCACTCTGCTGGGAGAGGGAGAGGAGGGGATGAAGGCCACTTGCCCCTTCCCCTGCACAGCCTGGGCCCTTCTCAGCAGCACCCCTTGCCCACGTGCCCCACGGTAAAGCTGTGCTTTCCTCCTTAACGGCATGGTTTTAAATATTTTCTTGCTAAATATTGGTACTCCAATCAAAGGTCGGCAGCAAGTCGTTTATGGGGAGGCCTCCTGCTGTGACCAGCCCCGCCACAGCAGCTGTCTCTCTTTGCGGAGCAAGTTTTCAAGACCAAGTATATATCATATGCCTTTGACACAGGGCAAACGAGATGGGGCAGAATTGGGTAAATCTTATGACAACTGTGAGCCCGAAATCCCCTGGCTGCCCCCGCAATGGGCAGTGTGCTGGCAGCAGGGGAGGGAGGAGGATGAAGCGAGCTGCTCCGAGCCCCAGCTTGTCCACGTCGGAGGGGCCCAGGAGGAGCCGTGCAGCATGCAGCTCCTCCCTTGGAAACTCCCTTCAGTAATTATACATTTACTCAAGTAATAATGCCAAATCCTATGTATGTGAGCTGTTGCTGGCTAATATTTAACCTTAAGAATATAAGTTTGCAGAAGGAGGATGCTGGAGGGCGGGTGTGCCATATTCGAGGGCTCTGTGGATGTAAGTCCTCAAAATGAGAAGTGCAAAGAAGGCGGTAGGCATTGAAACACCGTGTGGGGCCTGGGTGAACAAGACACCTTGTTAGAGCAAGCTCCATCCCTGACAGATGCCTGGTGGGCCCCGTTCTTAATTGGGGACCAAGGGGGAATTGTGAGGAACCTCTGTAGATGCTTCGCAGGATTCCTGGGGTCTCCAAGCCCAGGAAAGTGCCTTCAAGTGCTCAGTGTCTCTACTCTATGACTTGGATTTATCAGAGTCATTTTGGGTTTGCAGACTTGCCTTTAATCTTTTTCTTTCAAGGCCTTCCCAAATTACAAACCTGGTCAAAAAAACGCATTAGAAATGTTCAGACTACAGTTTAATTCTAGTCTTCCCTTTCTCACAGCCCCCTGCCCTCAAATAATAGATGAGGTTTCTGTCCCCAATTCAGAAAAAAATACAAAGTAAAGAAATACAGGCTCCTTTCATAGCCAAATGTATCTGCAATGTTGGAAGCAGACTTTTGCATGGCATTAGGGGAGATGCCCGAATTCAAACTTAAAATGGGAAGCGGAATTAATGTATTGTTTCCTTGTGATGGTTTCACACTGCTGGCTGGTCAAGTTTGTTATTTCTCTGTGCAATTACTGGTTACTGTTGCCTAAGTTAATCAGCATGTTTATTAAATAGTGCTAATTTATTAAGTGCTAATTGTGGTCTTACTATGTTATGGCAAGTGCACTGGGACCATGAAGGCATTTTTATTACCATTTAGGGAAACAAAGTGAATTCCCATGTGTTTTTCATGTTACCTGCTTGAGCTCCACTTCTCACTAGCAGTGAGAGGCAGCACATGGTGTTGAATATTGTCTCAGCAAACTGAGCAATACAGACTACCGTCTCTCCAAAACTGCATAGGGAATAAACTTACTTTGAGCCTCAGGTCACTTGCATGGGGCAATCAAGCTGTACTGTTGGAGGGCTGTTTCTTCAGATGAACTCTGAGCTCTGTTGCAAATGGAGTTCCCCTGGTTTGCAGCACCAAAGCAGCTGGTCCTCAGGGATGATTCTACCTCATGCTCTTGGGGCTCCTTATTGTTGAAAGACATTGTTAGGGAAAAGTTTTCAGCTGAAGGGGAGAAGAATTCATAAGGCCTCCACAGTTTTTAATGAAGTTTACCCAATGAGGTTCAAGATATCAGCAGTTCTTGTAGTAGCTGGGCTGTCCTTCATCCCATAGAGGCTGTTCTTCCTCAAATGAAATACCCAGCCATCTCTGTGGATGTCACCACCAACCATGAGAAAGAGGTGTCTGGTCAGCACCAGCAGATTCAACAATGCGTTTGCTGCCCAGGCCAAGGGCTTTTCCCACAAGGGGCAGAGGAAGCTTTCCTGCAATATTATGGGCATTAGAGGTTCCCTAAAGGAACCGTCCCCCGAAAGACTGGTTTATAGGAGGATGACGAGAGACTCAAGGATACTGAATGACAGTTTGGGTAGTGGGAGTTGGAAGGTAAAGTCAGTTCTAAAGGTAAACAAACTCCACTTTACCTGTTCAAAGGAAAAAAAAAACCCCATATCTAAGACTGACACATGATTTGTGGTGACATAACCATTTATGAGCTGAGCAACCTTACATGGTTGGCTCTCATTTTAGAGCTCCAGTTACATTACCCTCTTAGAAGAGAGGATATATTACCAGAATTAAAGTACACCTAAACCAGGAACAGGCTGAATAAAGGCATCTTATTTAAATACTGACACCACCTCATGCTGCTTAGTTTATGAGATCCACCAAGAGGCTGAGCATCTGATAGGATGCCCAGGGGGAACACACACATGGAGATGAACATACAGTCTGATAACCAAGACAAGTTCCTGAAATGCCTCTGAGTTCCCTGAAAAGGAATGACTACCATAAATGTCTGTGTCCATTTAACAGGAACCCCTGTCAGAGACAAAGGTAGAAGACCCGTGATACCAGTTCATACCAATGAGACCAAGATTCTTGATACTCATCCAGACTCTGAAGCCCATTAAAACGCTTGTTTTGATGTGTCAGTGTTTTGAAGTCTGCTATTTAAATTCATGGGCAGTCCTCAACAGAGTAAAATGACATTGTTCTTTTCTGGTTGTAAAGATAATGTAAACAGAGGTGTGCTCATAGCTCCTCCTGGGAAAGAGAGGAAGGGACGGCCTGGGTGGGGAAGACGTAATACAGATCAGGAGCACGTAAAATTCTTTTTCCACCTTTGCAAATACATTTCAACCCTGACTATTCTAGACCACCACCATCACTCAGTTCTGCCAGTATATTCCAGTGCTGCCTATCTATGTAGTCTGCTGTGCACTGAGTCATCTCCTCCAAATGCTGTCTGCTTTAGCTTCTCTTTTCCCCACTGTTCAGACTTCATTTTCCTTTTTCTCAAAAAGGAGAAAGTTTTCCTGCTTCTGCACTTGCCATCTCACACTTCTTTCCTTCCACTTTTTGTCCCAACTTAGCACTTGCACCTACAACATCATAAATAGCTTGAAAACTCATGCTGGTACTGTTTCAAGCCTCAGGTACCAATAGAGACAGAAAAATGCTTTTTTATTGAAGGCTTCTATTCACAACAACAGTCAGACCTGTCTAGATCATGGAGCACTGGTGAGCTCTAAATCTTCCACATTTAAGAGGATGGGCAATTGGAGACTTCCTGAAGAAAAGGAGATATACATTACACTACCTCCACTCCGTTACCCAGATTGCTTTATTAGGATGCATACAGCGTACAAACTAGTGTCTTTTATGTTTGATACCTGGGTATATAAAGAGAAAGCTAATTATGGGCTAAATTTTAGGTGGTGTTCCTACTCCTACAGGACATATGAAATCAAGCATTCCCCAAAGGTGCTACAACGATGATTCAGGATCTGCTTTCCTGTAGGCCTGTTGAAGGCTGGCCATGAGCTCAAGGTTCAGCTTCTGCTGTAGATCTATTAGGAGAGACACTACAGAACAAGGGCTTAGATACTTTCTTCTCTTCACGTCAACCAGCGCTGCATGTGGCAAGTGTTCAAGCGTTCCCGGAATCCCTCTGCTGTTAGTCGGGCCAGGCTTTTGTTAACTCCTACAGAGACATATGATCAAGCTTATATTTATTAAAGTACTCTATTGGGAAACCCTTCTTCACTACTTCCCAAATCCCAATCCGAATTA